GGGGGGGGGGTCCTCTTTTCCGGTCCCGCGCACTCACGTGCGTGGCGGCCCCCGCTGTCCGTCAGCATTCGCACACAAAAACACTCCACCCAAAGGTATATTCCGCACCGTGCGCTCGCGCGCTGCTGCACTCGCTATATTCTACACGCACACTCTCGTACCTCACCGTACGTGTATATGCGTGTGTGCTCGCGTGTGCGCACACAGGCAGAAGTAGACCGTGCACATACGTGTGCCAACGGCTCTGCTGCGTCCGTGCGGGTCGCGCTGTTGTTGTGTCGTCGCATTCACACACCCGTGGTTCTCTCTACCTCACGAATACTCTATCGAATCGCCACCTAACCGACTGGAGCTTGCTCCCTCGAAGGCGCCAAGTATATTCATGATCACAAGACATCAACACGAAGAACTCACGAAAACGTGTGTGCGCGCACAACGCTTACAAACACGCGGCCACTCCAAACGCATGCGCAGCGGGGTACACCAAACGTTGGTGCCGTGCCCGGCTCGAAACTGCGCGCATACTTCACGGTGTGCGCGTGCGCTGAGGGATGGGGCGTGGGAATGTTACATATCGATGCGGCTGTGGGCGCGGCGCGGTGTGCGTAGCTGTTTTCTTCAGCTGCGCGCCCGTGCCGCGGGGGGAAGCAGGAAAGCGGAGCGAGAACCAACACCACCTACGCCCCTCTCCATACGAGAGAACATGCATGGGCTGGCATGAGCGGCATGCTCCACTTCGGTGGGGCTCGAGGGGCATTTACGTCCCGAGGCGCTGAACCTTGAGGCCTGAAATTTCATGCTCAGGGACACATAATGGGAAGCGTAGGAGGTGAATAGAGGGGGAGAAAGAGAAAGGGAGAGAGGGAAGGCGTGCACGTGTGAGTGTGGGCGGGAGGGGGGGGGAACAAGACCCGACAACCAGCCTGTGTGAGAGTCCGGCGGCCCTGGCGCGTGGCGCAGCGCAATCCCCGTTTGGGTGAGAGCGTAGCGCCTCTCGGCGAGGGGCCGTTTGGTGCCCACACGGCTCGTTGTTGGGTCTTTGCCCCTTTAAGTGGCTTTAGGGGGGTCGTGGGTTTGGAGTTCGTGTGTGGTAGCCGAAGGGGGCAGCGGGGGTGGTGTGTGAGGAGGAGGGGGAGGAGGAGGGATGCGCGCAGTGTGGTAGTGCGCCTGCCAGGCCGAGACCCGAAGGTCGTGACAAAGTGCAGCCGGCGGCTGCCTTTCGTTTTATGGTGTTAATAGTTGCATAGGAATGAGGGTTGCATGGGAATCAGGGTTGCATAGGAATAGGGGTTGTATACGAGCGGCTGTCTCCGTTCTTTTCTCCCCTTTGGGCTGGTCTGTCGAGTGTCTGGGGTTTAGTTTCCCGCTGCGGGTCGGGTTGGCTTGGGCATTTCATTTCATTCTGGAGGTGCGCCTTGGGCTCTTCCAAATCAAGTGGGGAAGGAGGCTCAGGACGCCGGCAAGAATCCACCCCCGTGCACGCTGTTTTAATCCTTTTTTTTCGCTTTTTACACTACGAGGGATGCTAAACGGAGAATTGGGGTGCCCGTGTTCTCTAGTTATTACGTTTGTTATCGTGTCACTATTCACTTTTCTTTTCAAACAAAACAGTCGATTTTCCTTCTCAGAATTCATGGATTTCCCACCAGCGAGCCTTTTTACCCATTAGGCGAAGAGGGGGTCAGGTCCCGGTCCCGTTGCCACCGCCACACGAATACGATCCAGCGCGGGGCCGCAGCCGGCATCACGCGGCGCACGAAGCGGCCTTGCCAAGTGGGCACTGTAGTTCTGAGGCATACCCCACGCGATCTACACGCGCACACACGCACCTCACAGTTGTGGGGCCATTCGGCGGGCCGGTTTCTGTTGACCCCAATGTCCTAGAAAGATGAGAGGGGGATTCAAGATCAGCACAATCAGCCATTGGGGTACCCCAGCGGGGCCCCTTAGTTGTGTACTCTCCTCAGGTGGCTCAGTCGCGCACTACAACTTTTTAGCATCACTTTAGCTGATCAGTAGAGTGGGGGAGGAATGCTGCGTGCACGCCTCCCGCCTGGGGGTGTTGTTCAGGTTCGTTCGGACGGATTGTCATCAGAGGAATTGTATCAGCGCACAGTGCTCTGATTGAGTCCGTTCTAAGCGTTTCATTATTCTCACACGTGAATGTATTCTGCAGTCTGCAAAGTAACCTATTGAAGATATAGGACATGGGAAGCAAGAAGTGGGGGCAAGCACATATTTGTGGAGAGGCACGCTGAGCGAACAACATCCCAGGCGTGATGACACTAAAAAAAACGTTAAGTGCTTGAATGATTTCCCCATTCGCTTAACTGTAAAAAATGATTTCTATGAAGATGCAAGCATGATCTGCATGTCATTCATGATGTACCCATATGAAAATGTAAGCACGAATATTACTTTTCAGTTGCGAATTGGATCACTTCAGCATCTTATTCATCAATAGAGAGGCTTTGCCCAAGTGCAAGGTGGTCTTCCGCTATGGCAGGATCAAACACTACTGGGAAAAATGGTCCTTGGACTTTCCTTCCGGCTCGAAAAAGTGTAGTATGGGGAAGAAGGGGGCCATCGCGCACCGCAAATGTCTTGTCACCCATATAATGCACAAAACAAGATCGTGCCGCGTTCAGAGTGCGATTTCCATGCGTTGCAAATAGAGTAAGAGGATGAATAAGAAGTGCCTCGCCGCGTTTCAGATCGATGGTCAGCGGTGGGGTATCCATTAGCATCTCTCGCTCCTCCGCGTTTGTGATTGTCCAGATAGTATTGAGTTGCTGTGACTCATCTAAGCTCGTATCGCAAACCACCGGTAGAAGCTCGCTGCCATTCCGCCAACGGTGGCTTCTGGGCACCACGCACGGCGCACCACGGTCTTTACTGAGGTTGTCCAGCGCGACCATGACAGTGGCGTGATTGACCGGAGCTGTGTGGCGCCAGCGGGCGTAGTGCTGTTGCCATGGTACACACGGCCCTGTTCTCGTTTCCTTCATGAACACTTCGTCGTACCATAGCCGAACTAGTACATTCCCGAGCACCTGGCAGACGGCGACAGTGATAGCGGGCAAATATACTAGATCATGCATCCCCCAGGATGTCCGCCACTGCCCTTGACAGTAAAACAGCGGTCCACCAGTCAGGTCGGCCAGTGAGGTCGCGTAAAGATTCTCCAGTCTCGGATGGTGTTCCACGTTGTTCGCCAGCTCGTTAACCTCGTCTGCAAGTATGTCAACCTGATGAGGGTCCAGTACGAGCCTCGGTAACTTCACATAGCCTAGTTGGTGATACTGTTGAATTGTCTGTGGCTGAATAATAAACCGAGCGTACTCATCTACATCTGGGAGCGTTCCGTAAAGGCAACCAAGTGCCCCAGGGACATCCTTGAGATCGCGTGGGAGCTGCCCCCTCATAAACTTGAGCACATAGGACTTGTAGCGGCGCTGGAAGTGCTGTATAGTGAATCTACTATCTACCATTCTGCTTATGTTATAAAAAGAATAATAAACACACAAAAGAGACACCGAGACACAGCAATGGGCACGTGCAGTAGCTGTGGTTCGGAAAATGCAGCCAACAATGTGGGACAGGAAATGAATTGACCGCAAAGATGGGAATCACTAGCAAAGGCGATATCTACTTATATTTGGCACCTTAAGCACTTATGGTGATATAAAAACAACACAAAAGGAACATGAAAGATAGAGGAAGTGATAGGAATCAGATAAAAGTTCATCTCCCGATTTTCCTTTGTTGGTCACGATTTCTTTTGCGACCCTTGAAAGTATGAAAGTGTAGTATTTTACGCAGACAGCGCTACCTGCTTTCCACCTCCTATGTGTTGTTAATCAACGCTTAATTTTCAACCCACACACTTAGGCAAGTCTTAACGCCTCCGCCCATCGCTTGATTGTTCAAACACGACCCATGACCTACTTTTACTACAGCAATGTTATAAACCCTTACCGATCTTCTGGAACTTTTGCTTTCGCCACTTGATGAAGTATTGTGGTGAGCCTTTATCGCCAACTTCGTCTGCCTTTTGTTTTCCTTGTGTTCTACCACGCAACATAAAGCCCGCTTCGTCTTCTGTTGCGCGACCACCCGTGCGGGGTACTTTGTGTGGATTCACTGCAGCACGATAGACAGCAGTCGGGGCTATCTCTTTGCGCCGCTCCAGGGCCTTTAGCGTGTCCTTGCGTTGTTTTGCTAGACGGCGAAGCTTGAGCTTTCTCAGATCGAACGTGTTGAACTGCGACGCCGGTTGAAGTGCCTTGATGCCCTGGAGAAAGAGCTTAGATGATGCTATGAGATTTCTGCGCGGACGCAGAGTGTTGTGAAACCACAACAACTCAGTCGTGTCATCTGTGTCAATGAGGTGGAGCATGGCAAGACTTTGATTTTCGACCTCATATGAGGGAACTTTCTGAACAACAATGTTGGTCCGTTTAATATTCTTTTGGAGTCGTTTTGGACCATGAATAGACATCTTCCCCATACTCAATCACAGTTAAAGGGACAGAGTGGAAAAGAAACCCAGGATGCAAAGGGTGACCCAAGCGAGAAATTGAGTTACAATAATTACTATTCTTAAGTTTGTGTATATCTTCCTCTTTACTGGTGTTTCTGAAAAGAAAATAAGAAAAAGAAGAAAATTTGCAACAGATATCGATGCCACTTGATCCACTAACGTCACATGAACTCAGTATGATTCTTTTTTTCAGAATCCATCCAGATGTGTACCATAGTTTTCTGATCGCCTTTCTCCACCACCTCTCCTCAAGTTGTTCAAAATCCAGTTTAAACAACATTCTAGTGACATTCCCATCGGCGAGCTACGCCTCATTACCGCCCATATCCCATTTTCGAACTTGCCGAGCTCAAGCACCTTCATCGTACCCTCTGGTGGCATGGCCGTCTCAAACTCCTGCTCACTTGCCGTGACCAGCAATATGACGCTATCTAGCGCTACTTCTTCGTTGAGCAAGCGGTGAAGGACATGCCTCACAGTCTTGAAACACGTGAGGCCCTCAAAACCCTCAGGAAACATGACGACGTCCGTGTGCTCGTCGTATGAGTGCGGTGGATCATGCAGCTGTGACTGAGTCCCTAGATCCCTGCAGGTAAAGCTAATATGATTTCCAGTACGTAGATTCGTTATGATCAGCTGCCTCGTATTTGCACCCAAGGTCATCTGCGTGGCGATACTCTGAAACAGATGGAAGTGATATATCAATGGAAATCTTGCCGGCGCCATTGAGATAGGGCTAATGCTGTCTGGGTTATGGACCCTGCTCAACCTCAATCAAGCCTACAAGCTATTAATTCTCCATTAATGAATCCTTTGCTATGAATCTTTTCATTTTTACCTGTTTCCGAAGGAAGCAAAAGGATTTATGTACGTTGGAAAACGCTCGCCTTGCCCCCCCGAAAATACTGGTGGTTTTCCTTCAATTCATTCCCTCGACTCTTTCCTTGTTGTGCTTCGCTAATTAAAAACTGAAAAAAATCATGGTCAGGAAAGGATATGGACGAATGTAGGGGAAAGATAAGCCTTGTGCTCTGGTTTTTGTCATTGAAAGAAAGGGAATAAAATGCTCCAACGCGGGCACACAACTCAAAACATAAAGAATAGATTTACTCCCTTGTGTGGACAAATTGTTTTGACGGAGTTTGCCCGCTAAAAGGGACTATGATAATCCACATTCGAACAAGTTTCCCCACATCATCCGATCTCTTTCCTCACCTTGTGAAGTTTTAATACCAAAAGACGTTGACCATTAGCTCCTGCATTTGTTCATTCTAGTTCCTACTTTACCGACCCTGCGTCCCTCCTACGAGTCTAGATGCGACACCAACCCACTCATCCACACATTTTCAAGAATTCGTTCATCTTTTTTCTCCCGCACCGTGACTACCTCAAACTCCACAACTCCCTGTGTTGGCTCCACACGCGTGACGCGACACTCTGCGATGGCGCCCACCAAAACAGAAGGGTTATTGTGGAAAAGAGTGTGCACCAGCTGAAGCTCGGGAAGATACAGCTTCGATATGTAGCGATACTCTGGCGTCGACTGATGGAGACTGTTTACTGATTCTGGAAGATCAGAACCTCTGCCGTGGGTCACTTCGATTTCCAGCGCTGGATTGCGCTCTCGGGAACGCAGCGCTGCAAAGTTGCGGCCAGCAGTAGGGACGAAACGACTATACTCTGGCGATGCCATCACGTCCTTAGTTTCACCAACAAGACACATAAATTGCCTCTCTCCATCCTTGCCATGGTAGTCGAGGAGGAGCTGCTGAATGTAGCATAGCGTCCAGAATCGCGTTGTGCTGTCCTGCAGGAGACTTGCCTGTTCTTGCTTGATACTCATATTCATGCAGAGGGTTGCCATTGCGTGTTCAGGAATGAATTGGTGAGAGTTGAAGCGACTCGAATGATTTCGAAAGATTGATGAAAACTTGTGAATCCTCTGCTCCTGTGTCTGAGACCAGAGCCATACCTTAAGCTGGTGATGCACGAGCATGTCAGCGTGCCGGCGAAGTGGGCTTGTACTGTGTGTATAATAAGTTGTGTCGAGCCCAACGTGGTAAATCGGGACATGGTGGTAAATAGCCCGTGTAACGGCGCTCAGCTGCCTGATGGAGAGTTGTATTTGCTCCGCTGTGTACGTGTGAGTGGGATCCAGCGATGGCATCAATAGAACTCCATCCGGCTCCGTGTACCCAAGAGCCAGCTCATGTTCACTGGATGGTATCCGTGTACCGCGGTATGGGATCGGAAGCTTGTTCGCCTGCGCGATGCGTGAGCAGACTTCATTGGCTGCAATCATCATCTCCGCCACTGCAAGGCGGGCGTCCTGCGTGCAGACGATTTGGTCTGTGTGCGACACAACCCTTAGCTCATCAACCCTGATCAGCGGATCGGGAAGGCAGTTGCTGATGCTTGACGTATGGTTGGCCGCTGTCCGCGCCATACGAGCACGAAAGCGAATCTGGGCCACGTCATAAATGCGACGGAGTACACGTGTGTCGCTCGATGTCAGCCACGCAGGGGGTGGATGCGACTTCAGACTCGCCGTCGACTCAAGCCCTTTGTCACCCTGCCCCATGTCGTCAGTGAGCAGCTGCTGGACCTGATCGTATGTGATGCGCCGCAATCGCTGCAGCCAACCCAGGGAGATGGAGAATTTTGTTAGCTCTCCAGTTTGTTCATCAACTTGGAATCTCACGTTGAAAGTGCGGCAGGGCTTGTCCTCACGCAGCGTTGCCACCTCCAAAATGCTCTTTGGTAGCATAAAGAACACTCCTTCAGGGAGATACGTTGTCGTCGACAGAAGCCGCGCGGTCACCTTCTCCAGTGGGCTATCAATAGGGCAGTACACTGTCGCATCAGAGATGTACACTGTAAAGATTTCTTTGCCAGTATCCGGGTCCATTTCCACACCGATGGCATCATCTACTTCGCTGGTTGAAGCACTGTCAATGGCGTAGGCAGGACCAGGGCACAGGCTACGAATCTCATCGTGTTGATCACCACCGTCACGCTGCAAAACATCCGCTAGGTATGGCATTATCATCCCATGAGCCTGCGGGACGTAGTGTAGCTCACCAGCGTAGGCAATCCGCCGAAGGTTATCGCCACGCTTTACGTAGCCAACACATTCAAGCAGTCGCTCCATATTAGATAAGTCCTCGAGCTGCCATAGCACGCCAGGTATACGATTAACAGCCGCGTTAAGTTCGTCGAGGGCTTCATCAGAAAGAAGACCCTCGCCACAGGCGTACCGAGCTAAGAGCCGAAAAATACGCCTCTCACTAACACTATCTAACGGCTTGACAGGGATACCCCACGCATTGCTTAGCACCCGCTGAGCTTTCAGCAGCGCCGCCTCAATTTCTGCTGTGGACACCTTTTTCGCACTCGTCTCGCTAGCTACGCCCTTCAGAAGATCAGAGACGTGGTTGATGTCTTTGTCAGGAGGAGATGGCTCGTAAGACTGCAGCAAGGTGCCAAGGACAAACCGACGGGCCCACGATCGGGTTAAATAATTGCCAGTAAACAGTATTTCCTTGTGTGCAGCCCTCGAAAAGGGTAGCGAGGCCGTGCCAGTACAAATCTTTGCCATCATTTCTTTCCTGGCAATCTGCATTCAAAGCGTATATAGGTGGATGGAAAATCTTCCCTATCCCTTTCTTTTAACCTTCCCTGTGCCGGACACTCTCAAACAAAATGTGTACCCGATCCGCGTGATAAAGAAATAAAGAGGAAAGAAATCGTAGTATGAACGCGCCACACGCGCGAAACTTATGTCCTATTTATCTCGTTCACCAACATAGGGTATCGCTTCAAGATTCATGGAAAGTTACACCTCCAGCTAAAGCAAAAATCAAAGGTGATATTTGTTTTTGGCATTCCATTTGATTCAGTGCGTATGAACATCAGAGTCGAGCTGGTTGACACCAAACCTACGCATCTTTCGAAAGTATGATGCCTTTTGCTGAAGGATAGCCAGTTCCTCTGTGGTATACTGATCTAGTTCATTATTTGATAGGAGGCCCAGGGTCGGGTTAACATCAATGCTGGATCCCATTAATTTGAGCCGCTTGATGAGCCGCTGGGATAGATTACGCATTTCAACAGCTTGTTGAATGAATTCCGGGCTCAGTTGCTCCAGAATGTGCGCGCGTTTCCTCTCAACGTGCGTGATCCAATCCGCCAGGTGATAGTAGCGGCGCACGAGGTAGGCATCGTAGACGGCCTTGACGGTCGGATGCAGGTTCTTGTAGCAGTGGTCTAGCGCCTCGGCGATTTTCTCACGCTCACGCTTGATGTTTGCGATACGAAGATGGAACTTCGGGTGAAACGGGTCATCATGGAGCTGCTGGAGGTCATCAGCCAGCGTTCCGTACAGCTCATACACCAATCCAAGACACCGATAAAGCAAATCATGTCGGTGGCTGATCTGCGGATTCGGGTGCTCCGGCGTGCCGGCGTACTGCATATACCTCTCGAGGTAGCTGTCGCTGTAGCCATCCCATTGCTCAGTATTCAACCACTCCTGTTGCCCGCCTTTGGTACGCGGTAGACTGTCAACCCCATCAGGCTGAACGATGTGTGGGTTGTGTAGGTATCGATGAAACTGATCTGACGCCTGAAACCGAACAGCGAGCGTTAGTGGGAAGGGTTGCCCTATCATCTGACTATTTTTTCCGATAAAGGCTAATGAGGAGAGGGTGCACGGCCCGGAGTGAACTCGACGGAAGCAAAAAAACGGGTGGGCGAAGACTTTTCCGGCGTGAAGTAAAGGCTTCATTTTTACTTTTTGCGACTTCTTATCTTCCTTCAACCACCACAAGTTTGTTAATTCGATGTCTACTTTCCGCCTATGGTTGGTGAACAAGCATAAAGCGCAAGGGAAGAAAAGGTATAAAATAAAGACATGCGTATATAATTATTGTATGCAAAATGGCAAGATTCCACTAAAAAATTTTTCGAACAAGCGGACATGTATTGAACATTTCAGAATTCAAAAAAAACGCATGCACACTTTTACAAAAATACGCATGAAAAAAATCCACTTTTAATAGCGTAACTAAGGGAAAGAGGTGTAAAGAAAACGCATCGTTACTCCTGTACTATATCTAAGATTGTAAGAAACATTTACATTTAATTACTTTATCCTTCCAAAGATGAAAAGTTCAACGAAACACATCCAAGAAAATGCACTGCGCACCGTCCTGTTTTTTATCATTGTACTCTGCTACACTATACACTACTTATTTCCAGAGACTTAAAGTCGTAAATTTCTTGCCTATAAACTCTGCACACAGAAAAGTGCATGTGTCTGGTAGATTTATCTTAGTTTACTTTTTCAGAAGCGTTATGCCGGGGAGCCACTGGGCGTCGGAAAAATACTTCGCGATGACCCATCTGTCTGGACTGCTTCTTCTCGTAGAACTCGGAGTAGATATCTGCGAAGGGAGTGTAATACTTCATTGACTGCGGATTCTCAGTTGTCCCCGCGGATTCCCAAAGCTGCTGCAGGAGGTCTTCCCAGACCGCACGTCCGATGTTCCATCCCGCCTGGTCCGCACGCGGGCGGCGCCACTCTCCGTACTCGCCAATCATCCGAAGCACAGCCTTGCGCGATGCCATCGGTGCATCCCACGCGTTGCTGAAAGCAAAGATCGAATCTCCATCCATCTTAAAGCGCTGCGCACGGAAAATACTGTGTCCCTGTGAGATGGTCATGGCCTCAATGACGTTCTGATGCACCCGCATGCGGGCTTCACGCGTGTGTCGCGCGTTCCACCGCGCTAGAGAAAATCCAGTGAACTTGATCCCGCGAGCAATAGCATCCATATTTGAAATCTGCATTGGGTGGTGGCTCGTGTTGCCATAGGTCACGCAGACGCCATCGTCACCCAAGAGGTTAACCAGATTTGAAGCATAGCCACCACAGGTATGGTTCAGCAGGAGTTTTGGTGGTGGCAGGTCGGAGAGCAAGCGTCGCATATAATTTGTCCGCGCATAGTTGTAAGGTATCACCGCGAAGGCGCCGCGCAGCTTGAAGAAGGCTACCAAATGAGCATGCTCAGTCCGACCGAGCTGCATTGTTTGGAAGAGCTTCGCTCCCCTGGAGCGCAAATACCCTTGACAAATCTGGGAGACAGAGGATGATGCCCCGGTTTGCAGCACAACGTCATTAGGCTGTATGCAGACAAAGTCATGTGTCAGATGGTACGCGGTGTGGAACAGGGAGAGAGCGGCCAAGTACTCGATTTCAACATCCACACGATTCGGCAGAACGTCGAGGTTACTTGCATCCGTTACAAGATGTGTCGTCCAGGTGCCGACGAAAGGGTTGTTAACCCACACTAAATCGCCCTCCTTCAGAACCAAGCTTGCCATACGGCCGACTTCCTCGACGACACCAACACCCTCGACACCCGCGAGGCGTGGAAAAGGGGATGCTACGCTAGCAACTTGTCCCAGTGAAACTAATTCATGCAGTTCTTTGGAAAGGCTCATGACCTCGGGGTGTCCCTCAATGATGTTCTTGTCTTGCCGATGCACAGGGGCCGCAAGCATTTTTACGACTACCTGAGAGCCCGAACGGTCAAAGGGTACACGGTAGCGTTCATATCGCAAAACCCTAGCGGGCTTACCGTGGCGATGGTAGCGCCAGCCAGCTGCAGCCACGGTCCTGATTGTTTGCAAGTTGCCTGCCAGGTGGATAGATGAGTAAAACATGTGTGTAATTAACTACTATCAGTATAAACAGATGACTAATTATCTATTTCAATATCAAATATGATTAATAAAAGTAGTTTGCGTGAAAAAGGATTCTTTGATAGTGTTGCTATCTTCTACCCCACTTATTAGCCTAGTTTGCTATGATTCAATATATTTCTATTACTATTAAAACTAGAAGTTTATGTGTATTTCTGTGTGTAATGTTTGCCCTTCCCTAATTTGTCCCTTTATACCTCAGTAAGGAGTGCTATAATGTTCCCGCTTCGAGGCAGCAGACCGAACAGAAATTGGCAGCACTCTTCCTAAGAAAAGAAAATTCACTTGCTCATATAAAAAGACATAGAAACAGAAAAATAATTTTGCATATCTCTGCGACCTACCTCTCCTCAACATTCCTTGGATGTGTCTTTTACTCGCTTTTATTGATCGTACCCGCAAGCATTCCCCTTGTGTGTGGTGTCGCGATAGTAGCTCAGTAATATCAAGGCACCTTTTTTCCTTTGCCATGGGGACTAAGGTACGCCTATACATGGAGTGTGCGTACGTGCCCCTTTTTACACGCCTGATTTTCTAATTCATGATAAGGATGTCACAATATTACATAAGAGTAGCAGCAGTAGGCACAGTCGCAGCCAAATGTTAAGACAAGTCCCTCACCCTTTTTATACATTAAACTGAGAGGAATACAGTTTATTTCCTCCGTGGCGGAAAAGAGGTGCGAATCTCAGATGTCTGTATTCAAGACTGAGGCTCCTATTGCTTGGAGCTATTAGAATCCCTAAAGGGTATTGATAGTTTAAATGAGATACTACTACATCGATAGTCACCGTTTTCCCTAACTCGTCGTTTAACGACATAGGCTTATCAGGACCACCCAGTTCAACTTCCACAAACGATCATTTTGATGCGCTGGTAGCTAAAAGCAATGAATTGTGCTTGTCACTACTAATGCTAGCCGAGTTCAAACAAGGAGGTTCGATGGAATGAGGAGCCTCTGAGAGAGAATCCTTCTGAGGAAGAAGCCCATCAACGTTAGTGATTGAAGGCTTCAGCAGCTCCTCTAAGCAGTCTAGAGATGTATTAGCGTACTGATTCTGATGCTTCTGCCGCTTCAGACACTCAGCCTGCAAGGTACGCCGCCGCTCCTCCTGAAGTTTTTCTGTGAGTTGGTGGTTGCGGTGTTGCAAAGCGTCAACATTGCGGGTTAAGTCTTCAAGTTGAGTTCGTAGCAGCATGCGCTGCGCTTGAAGCTGTGAGATGTCTGCTGCACCCGACTCAGCATCAATAATACCACCACCTACGCCAAGTAGAACGCTGGGCTGCTGCTCCTCCTGCTGACGAAGCTCCTCAGCTGCCTCCAGCTGCTCGATTTCGTAGTCTTCCTCTTGATGAGTAAGCATGGCCTTATTCGGCAGTACCTGCCCCGATACATACTCTAAGTAACCAACTTCCGTGTGATAGGTCTCAAAGCGATACGCCACCCGGACGTCTGATAGGTGCGTCCGTGACGGCTCGTTGCTGAGACTACTGGAAAGAAAATAAAGGCGGCCGAGGTGCTGCTGCTTGAAGACTGGGCTAAAGCCTGAAAGGAGAACACTATTCCGCGCAATTTCACACATATCATTCGGGCTAAGCTTCCAGACCTTTGAGGCGATGGAATACTCTTCGAGTAGGGGCTCTTGTGTGTGGTGGAACTGCAAAGGGCAATCAGTGCCCAGGGAAATCCGCAAGCCACGCTGAAAAAATCGCGGGAAAGGGTTCTGAAGGTACGGACACACCTTCGTGTTATTACTAAGAGGGCACATCACGACGCCGATTTGGGCAAGAAAGAATAGATACTCTAGAACGGGGTCCGTTTCTAACTGCACGCCGTAGGTAATACTGTGGGCAAGCAGGAAGCTTCCGATGAGGTGATCAACCGGACCGGACTCACCACTGCTTGGGCAGAAGGAGAAGACCGAGAACTTCCGCCGACGACGGAAAGCGTTAAGGGAGTAAATGTTCGCCCAGAGGTAGTACTGGTAGTAGTTATAGGGTGGATCATCCTCGGTAGTCCACTCATGCGGCGGCCGCGTCGCAAGGTTTAGTGGAAGGTCAAGCCGGCGCTCATCTGCGACCATGTCGAAACCAGAGATATGTGTTAAGAGGTGAAAAAGTCGAGGATCCTTGCTGGGATGCAGTGACACCAACCACAGGGGTGTGAAAATATTTTCTAAGTACTCAGCAAAGCTTCGTACGCGGCCGTTGCGATGCAAATAACCATAGATGCATGGGACCTGGATCATCCAGCGGTTGTGCGACGACGACATGCCATGTGTGTCAAACCATGACGACAGCAGCGCCCACTCGTCAGAGCGCGCCCCATAAATTGTCAGCCGGAACTCCGTAAAACTAAACCTATCGCGCTCGAGATTATCAAAGGTCAGCTTGGTTAGCTCCGCAAAGTAACGCCCGCGGAGGTGGTTGTCAGTCTTAAGAAGCAACGTCAGAAGCTCGTCGCGTCCTTCAGGCGTGTAGAGAGCGGCGTTGCTAGCCTCTGCGGCAGCCCCGCCGAGGTTCATGTCAAGTTGCACATTTAAGTCGTCGACTGTGAGTGAATCAGGCGAGATACGAAGCTTATGCAAGAGCTGGCGGAGGGTCTGTGGCTCTTTGCCATCCTTATGCCAGACAATGTCGTCGCCACTATTGCGTGCCTTATGCAGGATGAACTGCAGGAGCTGCCGTGCTGTCATGCCCGCCTCCGTACGAATCGTGTTATCCACCTTTGTAGATTGATAGAAGTCGCGGTTCTGAGACGCTTTCACAGCCGTCCTTCCTGCCTCCAGGCCGTGGTTCACTGCCTGATGAAGAAGAAATCGATGTTCTAGGAGCTGCAAACGACGCTGCGCGAACTGGCTGACAAGATAGTTCTCCATAAGCGATTTAAGATCTTGTACGTGAACACGGAAGTCGTCGTACTGACACATGTCCTGGGGAAGCCGTGGGATCTGATGAACTTCGTGTGGTACCACGACCCCATCAACTGTCTTGAACATCCATTCCTCTTCTTCAAACGAATCATCATCACGGCGAAAGGCCTGCTCGATATTTTGTGTGGCATAGTATTGCTGCACCACTACCTCATGCCATTTTCGCGGAGCATTCTTCGTGCTTCCAACCGACGCTGAATGAAGATGAGAATCTCCTCGGGTAATTTTTCCATTTGAGTACGGGCGCACATAGTAGCTGCGAGTTTCCAACGCACGTAGGAGAGCTTGAGCGACCCATGCATACTTCATATCACGGTCGTATGGTCCGATAAGCTGCACACGCGGAAAGTTGATACGGGGGTCCGTGACAGCATAGGGTGCCCGTAGGTTGGCTGTAGCATCGGTCACCATGGTTTCGCCCCCCGTCACGGACAGACGTGAGGACATGGGACTCGGAGAGGGCGCCACGCTCTGTGGTGACTGTGGTGTGGAACCCGCAGCGACCGCATCGTTCATTGCAATGTCAACAGGAGGCCAGCATCGGGTTGGTGCTACTCGCGGTGCATCTTCCTCAGTGCAACCGATGTGCCTGGCTGCCGGTGAAATCGACTTTTTTCTCGTTGGATTGAAAATGATTTCATACTCATTTGCCCACATGTCGTGACGGAGCATCAACCGCGCCGTCGGAACGTTACTGAGTTCATACGAGTTGCCTTGCCAGCCTTCGGTTATGAATGCTTCTCCTAGCCAAGACATTTTTATGTGGTCCGGGAAGGAGGAGGTCAGGACTGAGTTCAGCGCGATTTCACTCACATCGACCCCGCTAAGGTGGTAGAGCTTGCACGCCATGCCATACTCTTCAACGAGTGGGTCATCGGAGTGGTGAACCGCCAACGGGTTGTAGGTGCAGAGGGAAGTCTGCAACCCGCGCCGAAAGAAGGTGATAAAAGGGTTTGCCGCGTAGGTAGAGAACCCAAACGCAGCACAGGACAACGGGCTCATGCACACTCCAATGTGGTGAAAACCGTAGAGATACTGCAGTACGGGCTGCTCCTCCAGCATGGTGGCGTGGTAGACACTGTCACACAAGAGGTAGGAAAAGACTAAGGTGTGACAAAGCGTGGTGCTGCTGCTGCCGCTGGACGGGCCAATGCCCGCGGAACGCAGCTGGAAAATATTCAGCCCGCGCCTGCGGCGCAGTGCATTGAGGGAAGTAAGGTTCGCCCAGACATAATACGCGAAGTATATATCACTAACACGTTCCGAGCTCGGAACATCCACAGGGCGCCGGCGTTGTCTCTCAATCGTTACACTTTGGTCGCCCTCCTCGTATTCTGGAGTAATCACAAAGCCCCCGAGGCATTCTAAAAGCGTTGCCAGGGCTGCGTTGCGTGGATCCTCGGGGGCAATGGTAGCCATAAAGAGTGGTAGGAAGAGTTGATCCAAGTACTGTTGTTGGTTCTCATGCATGAGCTGAGCCGGCGATGCAAGAAGTTGCTGGGCACCAATGCTGCTAATGTTTGTAGTTGACGACCGCGTTTCCGTTTCCTCCATGGGGGCTACGCCTTCACTCTCGATACCAGTGCTCTGCTGTTGTTGCCGTACACCCCTCGAACCCTGATGCTTACGCGTCAGGGCAATCAGGTATTGGTTAGTATTGCGGTAAGGTTCGAGCAGATTGTGGCGCTGCAGCCAATGGGCCAGATTCTCCCATTCATTCGGAATCAACCCCGTCACAGAAAGAATCACTTCGGCTGCCTTCGGACAGCGCACGCGCTCTGCATTTTGCACTAGAAACGGCCTGACAACATCAGCAAAATATGTACCGCGGTTCGGATTGTCGTGTGTTAGGAAAAGGCGAAGAAGCGCTGATGCATTAGCGCCGGCATTGTTGCACTGTGTGTCTAGAGGGTCATAGAAGCGATCCATCTTCTCGACCAATGAGGGCTGCAGACCGAGGTCGTCGGCCGTCAGGGACGACAAATCCGTTAAGTTAAGCATCCTATACACCATCCTCAGGCTGCACGGGGTCCTTTGGTCTCCTAGTACCACCGCAGTGTTGTCCTCACCACGGGTTCGGATCACGTCCCGAATGTACTCTACGAGCCGTGGCGCGCTAACCATGCCATTTAAGATTACACCGTTATCAACTTTCATACTTTTGTTGAAAATACCGCCACCGCTACCACCATGGGGGCGGTTGTGCGCGTTATTCTCCTCAAATGCATTGTTGCATAGCCTATACATGTCATACTTCTCTTCGAGCACCTGAAGACGGTAGCGACATGCGCTTTGACAGATACTATGTTGCATACACTCGCACACAGTCATGAAATCATCATAAAACTGCTCCCACGTCACAGGAGTAGTGGCCTGGCTGCCAAAGACATATACGCCGTCGGATATATGCAACAGTATAGGTGGTACTAGACGCTGCTCCAAACAAAGAGGTTCCTCAGGCTGTCCCTTATCTATTCCCTTGTAGCGTCCGCGCAGTTCAGCAACACGCTGGAGAAAGGGCTGTGCAAGGGACATCTCGACTCCGCCGTCATCTCCACTCAGATGCACCATATATACGTTGTTTGAGTTAATTGTCCCGCTACTAAAAGAATTTGTGGGTGGAATGAAACTGCACGGAGCATGGGGACCAGTGAATGCACCCGCAGAAGAGGCCCAGACGCTGTTACGAAACGGTTGTCTCTGGGAGTGCGCAAGTGAACGACGATAGAGGCCATTGTTGACTTGCTGCCCCATATCCACGTTTGGAGCAAATGAGGTGGTTTGACGCTCCCCTGTTGGGGCCCGGCTGTCGGCGTTTGGGGTTGTTTCCGTAATACGCGCATTCGTCCCTAACAATCGGGCGGTACTGATGTTGCTATGAGGTTCACTGTATCGCTGCCCCATCGAGCTGGGGAGAGTGTTTACTACTGGAGAATTTCCTTTGTTATCCGATAAAGTCGCAGATTTAGTAAGTAACGTCACTTCTTTACCCAAGCTCTTCATAGAGCCTTTTTTTGCTGAGCTCATCGGTGCGAGATCCGGCAAGCCTGGTTCGCGACGCATGCTTCAGTTTTTTCGAAGCTTGGGGTTGAGCCAGTCGGACTGAAGCAGAAAAAAGGAGTCCTTCAACGAAGCTTCACGTTCTTCTTTGATAGACGTCAAGTGTTCCGACGTTGATGGACCTCCTCTTACTAAGTGTAAGTAGATATGTTCTTTACCTTTTTTGTGGGTTCGCTACATAGTATACCAATGATTGATCCATATGTTTGTGTGGAAGAAAAAGCTGTCGAGCAGGTTTGTAATCATTCATAATTAGAATAAGGTCATATAATGTGATGTGTAAAGGGATTACGGGCTTTATCTTTTCAAATCGAGAATCCTCTACGCACCCTTTTCATTAAAGTAAGAGAGTTACCAAGTTTGTGATTTCATAAGGACCAGCAGAAGGTCCCACTGCAATAAAGGGTTTAAGGTAAAAGCGAAAAGGTCAGATAAACCTCTATTTATGCATGTATGAATTTTCGTTAGAGATCCGTTACTCCTACATCATCAATGCCCCGTGTCATGCATTCCTTTGGTTTTTGGGCGTGCACCGGCATTGACTTCATGCCGCCACATGTTGGGTCAATGTCAATAGGGCATTCCCAGACCGATCTCCCTGTGAGCAGCACCTCACGGTTAACATAATCCACTACATTCGAATAATTAAATTGCACTATTTCACTAAGATTCTTCTTAGTGAACAAGTCGTATTTGTATCTCCATGTTGGCACGTGGGGCCATTTGTGCTGCGTCTCTTCCTGTGCCATTTCGCGTCGCATAGCTTCTTGATACATCGGATCAGCTTCAGAATAGGGCTCCGGCTCCTTTGGCACCGCTTCCAGCCCTAGAATCTTCGCGCCATCAATAGCAGTTATATTAAGCGATTTCGCATACTCGAGACCATCCTGGCTGTCGTAAGTAACTAGTGCTTCCCAGGGTCCTTCAATTTCATCAGTATGCGTGGGCCTCTCGATATCAGACACACACTGCTTACAAGTCGGCTGCAACGTAATATTTGGAAAGTAGCCAAGCTGGATGACTGCATTACTTAAGGCTGATCGCCGCTCGCACGAGATGTGACTCCGTGAGCCATTGAGCTTATGAGCTTGATTTGGCACCGGTACAGGGAGTTGTGCAGCCACAAAGATGGGACATACATCACTGTCGACCGCCAGCATCGGATTGTCGGTAGACATCAGATCTGTTTCGCCCTCCGACGTATGTTCGTTACCTTTATGTGGGATCTGAAATTTCATTGTTGCTGAGACGCCTTGTTGTGTGGACCCGGCACCTGCCGCTAGCGAGACGCCCGGAGCAAACTCCACAGCGGTGTAATCATACACACTAAATTCGAGTGATTCCCACTTGCGATATTCGGCTGTGTCGCTACACTCTATTTGGTACTGCTGCCATTGCTGCTCCGCCTCGCGCTTGCGTTCCAAAGTCTCATCAGAGAGTTTGATCTCAAGATTCACAATACCCTTATGGGGTTCGAAGATATCATAACGCCCAAAGAGTTCCCTAAGCCGACTTGGGTCGATGCGTTTGCTGAGCCGAACCTTCACGATACTGCAGGGGTTGTGTGCCCCAGGCGGAGGCAGGGGCCCTGGCGGATATCGGTAGACACCGTCTCTGAGGCGCTCCTTGAAGATGGCAGTAGCACGCGCAACCGCCTCGGTATCACGCTCCTTGATAACCGATTTGATATTAAGCATGGATTCCTCGATCATTTTGAGCCGTGATGGAGCCGGCATCGCTCCAAGCGCCTCCTGATGCCTAAGGTAGTGCTCCTTGGAACTAGAAAGCATGTTGAGCTCTTTCACAAGAAGCTGCCAGATCTTCTGGAGATCAGCCAGACTCTTGTTGCGCAAGCTCCCAATCGGCCATGCACCACCTGGAACAGGCGGACGTTTGTTATGGAGGAGGTTTGCGTCAACAAACTCGTAGAGAGCTGTTTCCCTAACGCGTAAAAAATTACACCGTAGCATTCCAAAACGCTTCTACTAATACAGACTAATAATAGAGGCCACTTGAGTACAAAGATTACTCAATAAATAGTGGAATGCAAGGGGGGAAAAGGTTAATAAGTGTGCCAGTACAGACCGCTGTAGACCCTCACGTTAAATCATTATCCGTTATACCTTCCCCAAAACTCTAAGTAATTTGATGCCCCTGTGATGTGTAATTCCTCTTTTCGTACAATATACTCCGCTGTCCTAGCTTTGTGCGAATTCTTATTATTTTTGAATTGAATTAAGTTAACTTTAAGACACGCATTTTTCACATCGTTTACTCACTCAGTTAAGAGATATGAAAAGGGTAACAAACATGAAATACACCAGCTTTTGTACGTATCATTCAAAAGGTGCAAATTGCACATTTTGGTTGTGACAGACTTCTTTTACCCTCATTTACAATATATCACAATCAACTTCAGATATATATGTGCATTTCAAAAGCAATAGTGACGCCTCTCTTATCTTTCATTTAAAGAAAAACGACTTGTCAATGTGATTCTTGGAAAGGGGTATACAATATGAGATATTATTTTACGTACATATACACATAACTATCGACATCTATACCATACATATGCATGCATGGTTAGCATTAATGTAGATGCAACAAATAGTAGAAGCTCACGCCTTTGTGCCTTAGCATTCAACTCTACGACAAATTGTAGGAATTGAGAGAGATGGGAAAATTGGCACATATAGAAAACAGCTGTCACCATCACCGTAGTCAAGAATTTTTATTGACAATCACGGGGCGTGAAGTATATATATATATGAGTGTAATTTGGTAACTCATCCTGCCAGACACATTCTATGCGCCTCCCTTACCTACCATAGTAGTGAGCCATTGTGTTCATTTTCTTTGTGTATTTTTTCCACTACTCCAAACGCGTGTATAAGATTTTATGCCTATCTTCCCATTTTGCATTAATTATTAGCGACTATGGTGCTACTGCTAGCGTATTTCTCAATGACCATTTTAGTCTTCACACCATTCATGGATGCTCAGTTTCTACGCATGCCCCTGTTCACCACCTTAACAAAGCAGTGGTGAGGCGGGGGAAACATACCTTGTCACATTATCCACCTGAGATTCGTGTGAGCGCGCATTTAGTTGCGCAATTTCCTCCCTTAGCATCGCTATACTGGTGTGGTTGAAGCCCTGAAGCTCAAGCGCATTGAGATCCTTCTCAACTGCAGCACAATCGCCGAGTTTGAGGAAACATTGGGCGCGGCGAAGCAACACTTTTGAGTTATCTTGAAGAAAAGGAGCACGTTCCAGCAAAAATGTAGCGACCGCTACGCCTTCGAGGTACCGCCCAAGCTTGAGGTTCACCAACACGAGGTTGCTCATAGTAAAACTGAACAACCTGTATACCTTCTGTTGCCGAGACCGTTTGGTCAGAGTAAACCATTCAGAACCATACAATTTAGCACTACCATCGCTTTCAATATCAATACAACCGTCTTGGTTGAATGCGTAACGACTACCCGCACTAAACGAACGATTTTGATCCCCGTTAACATTGGGTGTTTGACACCCGCTTACAAATGGGTTCAAGAAACGAGGCCGGTACTGTCTTAGTATATTAACAACTAAAACATGCTCAGCATCGCTCGGGGATAGGGAATGCACAAGCCAAGGTACGATATCCGGCCTTGTAGGCAGGTACTCAGCTAGAAACATAAAAACTTTCTTGTAATAGAAGGATGCTGCATGTAGGTGGTTCTGAATCATCGCGGCATCGCCAGCATCCTTGGAAGCCTGTGCATCGGCGATGTGACAGTCGATTATGTGGACTTCGTCATTGAAGGAATTAACGCTAGCACTCCTATTCATTATTGGGCCTGAAAAATCAAATGCTATTTTAACTCTAAAATTAACTTATACAGCCACCTTAGACTGATGCAGTGGAAATGAATAATACAAACAGTGTTTTCGTGATTGTGGAAGCTAAATATATAATGTGTTTATATGCATACGTATATCTATGTAAATATATATAGAACTCCCAAATTGTTTGATCCTCCCTCGTCAAGTTTTGTTTTCTCTAATATTTTCTCTTACTGAGGCCTCAATCATCTTCTTGATTTTTGCCATGCCGTGCGGTAGCATTCAATTAACAGTAAAAAGCACGCGCGCCAGTATAAGAAAATCCATTTCATCACATCCGTGCATTTCCTTAAGCATCTTCAAACAATTATTCTCTGCTTCACACTAATAAGTTCAAAGTATCACACAATTGGTATGGTGTATATTTGGTGCTTTCCACTAGATAGATCCGAAGGTTTTCATATTACGTATTAGTTCATGCGACGCAACCACAGTAGCGTATGCTACATACTCGCTGGAAACGCGGACTCAACTACTGCATGACTGTCAGCTCCGTTACCTATAAGATACACTATGCGTGCATGCAACGCGAGCCTCGGAATGATTCTTAGGGCATTTGCCAATCCTTTCACTCCTGTGACAGGAAGGAGCTCATCCAAAGTGCTTCTTCCGTAGCGTAGGTCGGTTGAAAGCTGACGTTAGCAAAGAGCCGTTAATGTTTCTGAACAAAATTCTGCCGCCAACCAGTTATAATTTGGGCGTCAACGTGGGACACCCTAAGCATCATGAAGTGTTCTAGTAAACTGACCTAGGTAATGGGAGTGACTACCAACGGTCATGAAATCCTGCGATACACTATCAAAATTCCTAAGGTGGTCTGGTTTCACAAAGCCTGATGTACTCCTGCCAGGGTAGTATCAGCTGTCGCCGTCGTCCAAGGATGATCCCTCCCCAACGCTAGGTGGAGATCGTTGCTGCCCTCGTTGCTCTTGGTTACAAGTTACACTGGTATAAAAGGCGTTAGTGATTATGCCGCTCGGAGAGGGGAAGTATCATGCTCATGAGACCTAAATGCTGACCACAGCAAGGCTACCTCTCATCAAAGCACATGCATGGCACTCTCTGTGGGCAGAGACTTGTTTCAAGCTGCTCGGGTGTCGAAACCTGTGTTTTCGGAGATGCAGATGTAGGTTACCATCACCCGAACCTGCCACAGCAGAAGGAAAATGATGTGTGGCAATACTAACAATGAAAATCCCATGTGCAATGTCGTAAGCATACCGCCGGGCTTATACAGCGCACAGAGACCATACGGTAGCATCCCTGAAGAACTCATGAGACTGACTGCATCTACTTCCCTACGATTCTCATATAATAGGCTGCCAAAAGCGTAGACTTTAGACACTGTCCTTCAGCCATGCAGTATGCATAATATAGAGACTGCAGCAAGGTTCGCGTCAAAGAGCTGTTGTACTGCTGCAGGGAGGGACGTATACAAGTCCTATTTGATGATGTGAATCGATCTCAAAGACAGCTGCCGTCCACATCTGACCTACCGTCTTTGCCCTGAGATGAGATTTAAGATTGGCCTCTTGATTCTTTGTAGCGCTTCTCTACCTTTGTCAGGCTATGTAGCCAAGCATCATTGCATACAACATAAAATTTAAGATCTTAATTAAACAATGTTACAATGATGTCTGGTTGAAGACGGTGCCACACAAAGGGTGTCAGGTATCTTACTCTTGCGCTGATGATGAGATAATGCATAGGGCAGCATCGGTAGGGTCGTCATAAACAATGACCGAAGTGGCTCCTCCAGAGTAAGAAACAAACAATGCCTCGCTTCAACCTTAATCAATGGTACTTGTAGTTAGCATCACAAAATATTTGGTAGAGACAATTAGTCAACTTTCATTGAGGCTGCCAGCGATCAAGACCATCTTCACGCCGTGATAGATGTCTGAGCGTCAAGCTCCGTTAGTGTCGTGTTGCAGAAATCAACAAGATGACGTAGTAGCAAAGGTAGTTGAAGTATTACATTTTGCGGTTACCGATTCAGCTACATGACCCTATCTTTCGCGTGTTGCGATCAAACAAGAAACCATGGAAACATCATCTTCGCAGGAGCGCGCTTGACCAAGTGTACCAGGCATCGGTCTTGGTGAGTGAAGACGTCTAAGAAGCGTGGGATGGGGTAGAGAAACTGTCTAAGGACCCATAGTCGACAACTCGGACTAGCAATGAAAGACAGCGGAGCACCTAGCTCGCAACCAGTGCAGAAGTCGACCTATTCAGCGCCTCCTCAAAGTCTTAATCGTACCTAATTTCATGTCAGAATGTTAGTAAAAAAGTGTGCTGCTCACGTGCAAGACCTTGTAAGAGAGGACTAAATGCACTATAGAAGATGCCAGAAGTGTTGGTGTTGATGTCAACGAAGGATTGTTGCATATAATAAAATAACACTTCGCCTAGATGTCTAACCTTCGGTAATATGTATCTCGAACACTTTCCGCGTTTCTAGCTTCACTAGCAGACCCTTCCACAGTGGTGGCCCACTACAGTAAGTGATAATGTGAATTAAAGCGAAAGTGTACAATCATTAGGCGCTACCACTAAAGAAAAGGGGCGCGTCAAACTGTTAGACTTTCCACGCTAAATGGTACGACGCGATGCAAGAAATATGCCCGGGGGCTATTTCCTATCCATTGAAGTCCCTCAGTTATCTTTTTTCTTTATCCTCGCACCCTAGAAAAATTAAACAATTAAATATATATTCACTCTCCAAGGGTTTCAAGTATACGGTATCGAAAGGACAGTAAAGATGTGCTCCTATTTTATGAGGAAAAAAAATAAATTTACTGAACAGTAAAGAAATAAAAGTTGAATTGTGAAGAAACACTAAAAGGTTGGTTAACTCATTTGAAAAAGCAAACTCCTTTCATCAAGGATCCTAGCTACGTTGTTTCTCAAGAATTTCGATATTTTTTAATTTCCAATCGACTCCAAATTCACATTGGTGACTACTTTTTAAAACCCCATTATCCACAGAGAATCATTTTCACATACATATATGCATACACGCATGTGTTTCACCTCATGTTACCGTGGAAATCACACTGATCCCTATGCACAAATCAATTACAAAGTGGCAAAGACTATCAAGAGTTTTTTTACCTCAGTACATACTATCTAATAAATCAAGGTCAGCGCTCTGTAGCATCGCTAAATTGCGAAGGAAACTTAAAAATAGATCAATTTGGTAGGCATTGTCCCTTACAAGCAAGCCAAAGGATTATGACAGCTACTACTTAAAATTAGTAGTATACGTGACATAGTCATGATTTGGTATTGTCTTCAATTCAGATACATTCTATACCATCAACAGATACTTTTATTGTATTTTTTCATGCATGATCCAAACAGTTGTACGTGTTTGATTGCAGTGTTTATAATAATAGTGATCGTCACACCACTTGCCCTCTAGACAATAAAATTAAAATCTGCAAACCGATACAAGTGTTTATTTGATACTTTTTGCGCCTCAAAAGCTGTCATGAGCACACTATCGTCTGGGGTACGCACGACATACGGGGAGTTGGCTTCTATGGTTTTTAGAGCTACAAAGCTCCGAATGGAAGCCATTTGAGTCAACGGCGTGGCCTCCTCCACATCAAGTTCCAAACAGCGAATGAGCGCTCTCGTCGGTTTTTCTCCGATCTCGCACACAAAGGAAAAGATCGTTTCGTAGAATATAAGTGTTATGTCATTTATTCTGGCATGGCTCTAAACGAACACCTGTAGATCGAGTGAGTCATCTCTGCTTCCTCTGTCAAATTTCGATTTTCGACAGGCTAGGCCTTTTTCGAGAATGAAATTCATCATCTAAACCGGCGAATAAAAACGCAGTAAGAACTATATTGAACTCCAGTAAATGAGGCTTAGTACCTGATATTGCATCGGCGGCGACCTTCTCAATCTGCAATGCTAAACTTGTGACGGCAGTCCTAACCTTACTGAACATTCCACTTCCTTCTCGAAGAACTTAATCAGTTATACTGATCTCGACTTGATTCTTTTCATTGGGAACATCTTTATGCTTCTCATCGTACTCATGCTGATGGCGGCAATTTCATGTTACGCTCTTAGTTGGCAAGTTAAACCTGCTCGCAGGAGCTGGAGCGATGCACAGACGTAGATTGTTGTGACTAAACGCAAGTAGGAACCTCAGAGACATGAATAATTTCAGCGTAACTCTCCTCTACCTTCAAAAACGATTAATACAACTCGAGAAGTTGTCATAACAAGAGGCGAAAAAATACAGAAATAAAAATTGCGTGTGACCGCAATAATGACAAACAAATGATTAGGCTTCGCGTGATGACATCCTCATGGACCGGAAAAGCACCTCTTAGATAAACCTTGAACAAAATCCAACCATTTAAATAGACGAAAGTGAACACATATTAGGAGATAAAAGAAATAAAACCAACACCCTAGTATGAAAAAAAGAAAAAAGAGTTAAGCGAAATAACATTTACAAAAAAGACTAAAAAATGAAGCTGTAAAAAAAGACATCTAAGCTCCTTGTATTACTTTCGCCTGTGTATAAAACACATAATTTAAATCAAACAAAAAACAAATACTCTTAGATTAAAAAATAGGGAAAGAAATACACAAAATACATCGTATAGTTAAATAAATACAAAAATCATCCTAACTCAAAATATCAAAAAAGAAAATTAGAGATTCATAGAAATATGCAAGAATACTGTTCTGGTGCGG